AAAGCATGTACAAGTCAAAGCACCTCCGAAGTTCAGAAGCAACCACTTCAGTTAGAACTCTTTTAATGAACGTGTGGACGATGGAAAATGTTCAGTTTAATTTGTTTTCTCGCTGCACTACACGGACTAGGGACGATGACGACATTCAAATCAAGCGTATCCTCGAGGAGTTTTTTTGGCATTTTTTCCCCCTCATAACTCAAAATATCAAACTGCAGAATTAATAAGGAGGCTGTTTGCAATGACTGTCGAGCAGACGTTTGTTTACTTTCTTGCAAAGACTTCGATGAGAAAAAAAAAGAAGCTAAACAAGCAGCAGGTCTTCAGAGTAAATGTGAAACTACACCAGAGAACCAAACAGCAGCAGGGATAAACCGCTAGCCTGTATTCAGAACGGAAAATTAAGTATTTCAAAATTGCATTTATTTACATATTTGAAGTTATTTTTAAATACATGCCAAAAACTGAATCTTAAACTTATCTGCACCCCTAAAAACTCATCTCTCTCTGTATCAAAGGTACTTATTTTTGATGAAAATACATCCCCTAACTTTACCTCTACGCTGTAGTTTCCTCTAGAATGTGCAGATCTACGAAGTCTCCGCCTCTTCCTCCAACCATCCCTCCCCATTCGCTGCAGCTCGAGCACACCAGCTCACCTACGACTCTGCTGCTCAGACGCTGTATTGTTGAATTAGCGCCTCGTGTTTGTTGCGAACAGAATCCTGAAAGTCTGACTTTGTATTTTAGTCACTGGGACGCTGCGTTTTCAAGGTACCGATGTTTGACTGTGTATTCTACTCAATATGTGTCCTCCAGCATTAAAAAAAACACCATATGTACAGTTTAACTTGGTAAAAATGTGGATATTCTGGAATATTCTTTAAAAACTACTATTTTCAGTTTACTAATGTCGAACTGTTCCTTTAAACAAAACCTTAGATGAGTTTCTAGGGGTTGAATCAATGCCTGAAGAGGGAGTTTATTCATAATAACTGTTAGTATTTATGTAAAAATCGCATGGACTTGTGAATAAATGCAATTCTGGGGGGAAGCGGTTGGTGTGTTTTTGTTTTCTGGATGGAGTCAGGCTAACAGTTTACATGCCCTTTTAAACCCTGAACTATTTCAATCTATCAACAACCTTTTAGAACTAAAACAAACCAGTTAAACGTCAAACCCTGTCGACTACAGCAGAACACAGAAACCCTCAGGTTCACTGTTTATTGTACGTGTCCAGCCAGAAACACAGCACGCACTCGAATACAGCCCCATTCCTGGATTTTGCGGTGAAATCCTGCTGCATCCTCCTCACTGCATCAACACGAGGAGCTTACAGTTTGCTGAGAACTTTGCATCATGCAAATGAAAAAATAAAATCAGCCAGATGGTGGAGGAATGCAGCACCAAAGGTTACAGCTCATCGGCAGCGACGTCATTTTCCTCCTCAGCTCCAGCCCAAGCCTGGACGTTGACATCATCGTGGTTGCTGTGGCGACAAACCCTCTGTGTGTGTGTGTGTGTGTGTGTGTGTGTGTGTGTGTGTGGGCTGGGTCGCCACTGCAGAGCTGCTGACACAGCATGCACCCACACAAACACACACAGATGGACGCCGTGTGCACAATAATAGTTGCGTACGGATCCGTCCGCATGGCTGCACGCGCTCGGACTCGCAACAGTTTTCCTTGTGCCGCGGTGCTGTAGCGTTTTGTGGGTCGTACCTGAGACTGTGCGTTGACGTTGGCGCCGTGGTTGACGAGCTCCTTCACCACGTCCGTCTGTCCGGCGAGGGAGGCTATGTGCAGGGCAGTGTTTCCTTTCTGGTGAAGGAAAATAAAAAACAAGAGTTATTGTTATTTTGAATGCATGTTCAGCAGCTTGTCGGTACTGACTTCATCTCATGCACACTGTTTATCTAAGGAGGAGGTTCAAGCAGTTTCTGGGTGTTTTTACTCACTGTGGACTCGTTTTTTTTAAACATTGGAAAACAACAGCGGCTCCACATTATAGATATTTCACGACTTACATCCTTAAAACCTCCATAAACTTGCAGCTTCTCCACTATCCTCCAACTACCTGCTCCTCTGTTCACAGTTTCTGAGCCATTTATTTGTTTTTGTATGTTTGATGCTCTTCTCAGCGTCTTTAGTTCGTTTCCATACCAACGTTCTGTGGCAACACTGCCTGCAGTTCAGCTGAAAACTCCTCATGGCTTCTCAGCCACAGTTTTAAATCAAACATGTAGAATAAAGTGAATTTAACAAAATCACAATGTTAAGCTCACATTTGGTTCATTTTAGCTCGAGGACCACCAGAAAGTTGAAAAATCTCACGATTCGTTCTGTTTTTACAGTTTCTGGTGAACGGTGTAATATCGGTGATTGTTTTTTAAAGAAAACATATAATGTTGTAAGATAATTATTTATATTTTTGATGAGGATATTATTTACAGTTTTTTAATTATACAGTGTAAATTAATACATTTTCGCTGTAATTTAACAGAGGTAGTCCTTTTATAATCTTTCTTTCATTTAGCAGCAAATATTAGAATAAGATATTGTTGCTGATTTAAATACAATAAAAATAGTGCGATTATACAGTCAAAAGAAAAGAATCAATTTTTTATTTGTAAGAAAAGAGATTTATGATGTGGACATTATGTATAGTTGTGGCCTGTTTTTTTTTTTTGTATATACATATTTTTACATTCAACATATAAATAATGCTTTTTTATGTGATATCTCTGGTTATTGTCCATAATTTATAAAAACAGGAATAATCCTTTCAAAATCTTTAATATACATAATTTTTCTTCCATATAACAGAAAAGATCTGGATAAATAAAATAAATAAATATTGCTGATTGAAATACTTTAAAACTATAAATAAACAGTGACTTTCATTTTATTTTTTTAAAAGTACAGTTAAATAGCTTTAACTCTTGACAGTGTGCAGTCGCTTGCTGATGCACCTGTCGTATGCGTGTAAGCTATAGTGAGCTGCAGCTGCTGCCATGTTGTCATTCCTGCTGCTCCTGTGACCTCCACATATCCACCTCCTTCATTCCTTTCTGCTCGAGCTTCACCCCTCCACTGACCGGAGCTGCGGTCCATGACAACAAATCATCGACACGCCGCTGCACTGAATGTAGAAATGAATAAATAGTGGCCAGAACTGAGTAAAACAGAGTGAAATCAGAATGTGACAGCAGACTCTCGTGGATGGAGGAAGGATCGGGTTAAGGTCTCAGAGAACCAGCGCTGCATCGGGTCGTGCACGTGAAACGACCACAAAAGAAAACCAAGTGGGAACCCTGCTGGTTGAATGTTTAGGGAGCTTCAATGACCTGAACAGCATGTGACTCCTCCACAGTTTCCGTTTATCTACTACACTGTACCAGTAAATGTCAGCGCCACACAGCTTGTAGTGGGTGGAAATGCTAAATCATCAGTTTCAGAAAGTTTTGGATAAGGCGCAACAAAAACTTCCTTATTACACGTAGTCTCCGAGACTATCCGACCATCAAAATGAAGCTCCAACAGACCAGAAGTCAACCTGAACAGGGTTGGGCATCGAGAACTGGGTCCACCTTTGAACCGTTTTAGTTTGATCCTGATCATTAGATGTCATCAAATTTCATTTCAGGTCTCTGCTTGGATGGTAGTGACTAATCTATAAATAGCATTGTAATCTATTTAGTGAAAATGAAATGACTGTCCGAGTATAGATATACAAACGTTTTGGTACTATTGACATGACAGTGTTAAATTTAAGGGATGACGCCCCCCCAGTGGATATTCATGACCTCGCTAATGTTGGGTTTCTGATAAATTATGTACACAATCATTTATCACAGTAACCAGCAGCAAAAATGTATTATTACCTGCCTAAAAGTCTAACTAAGCTAATAATGATTTGCAATAATAGCATTTTTAGCTTAGCATAAATAACGCTATGCAACATTAGCGTGCTGTAGCACTAGCCAGCTAGTTCACTTTAGTTTAAGCTAAAAATGCTATGCTATATTAGCCTGCTATAGCACTAGCAACGAACATGGCTTTGCATTAAGCTAATAATGTTATGTGATATTAGCTTGCTGTAGTGCTAGCTAACTAGCTGGCTTTTGGTTAAGCTAATAATGGTATGCTGTAGCACCAGCTAATTAGCTCACTTTAGGTTAAGCTCATCATGCTATGCAATATTTGCTTGTTGTAGCATTAGCTAGCTCGCTAGCTAGATGAGTTTAGGCTAGGCTAATAATGTTTTGTGACATTAGCTTCCGGTATCACAAGCTAGCTAGCTTGAATTCTTTGCTAGTGTCTGTTAAACATCCCTGCTGATTTGATGATGTTTTTGTCATGAATTTAAACATTAAAGATAAACGAATTAATGAACAATAAACAATAAATAATAAATAGTAAAGTGAGGGTAGATTAAATTTTAGATTAAGGTCCAGCAATTGCAAATTCACTGTGCAGTTAAAGTCAGAACAAGGTAAAAAAATAAAAAATTGAGAATATAATTATTCTGTTACCTTTAAGAGGTTTCCAAGGTTTATATAATATTTTATTATTATAGTATAATTACACAAGCACTAATATAAAACTATATTTTATTGTTGTAGTAACTTAAACCGTCTGCAGCTCAAACAATCTGAATAAAATAAACTGAATTAGAAACAGAAGTGATGCCCGACCCTTCAGGTGAACTTTCATTATTGTATCTCATATAATTTCATAAAAATCTAATTAAACTCGAAGCTGATGCCTCGTGAAATTCAGACACATTAAACAAACGGTGCTCTGGTTATTTATGATAATATCTCTTCACTAGTTCAAACAGCTATTGTTCCAGAAGGAGGTCAGAGTTTGCAGTAATCAGATTACTTGGCTTCAGGTAAACAGGCGGCGAGACTTTGATGTATAACCTCGTTTCTCTCTCTAACCTTGTTTCTTGACACCATGTGAACGCGGCGCCTGAAAACCCTCGTTAAGCACGGCCTTGTAGAATTTAATTACTTTCCCCGAGTCTCTTTCATGGCTGCTGGTTCCACTGGAGCGTTCTCAGCCGCCAGGAAGCACTAATGTGGTGAAATACTGTCACTGTGACAGACTTCCAGTAAATCAGCCTCTCTGCTGCTGCTGCTGCTGCTGCTGCTGCTGAAGCAATGTGACTTTGTGAAGGTGCCGACGCAGCAGAGCGGCTTCATGCATGTGCTGCGACCGGTTGGCATGTGTCGGGGTGACGCACCTTGGTGGCGGCGTCCACGTTGGCGCCCTGCTTGATGAGCTCGGCCACCACTTCCACATGGCCCTCCTTGGACGCCAGATGGAGAGCGTTGAGGCCGTTCTGCAGAGGAGAGAGGAGGAGGAGGAGGTGTTAAAACCAGGAAGAGTCCAGTCACCGGTATTTATACAGCACGTCTGAAACAGCAGACGTTCAATCAATCAGTCAGATCTTTATTTATACGGCAGTTTTGATACGAATTAAAAGATGAACGATAACAAAAATGCAGCAAAACAACATAAACAGAACCAGAAACTATCCAACATAACACAAGAAATACGGGAAGATAAAACACATATATTATTAAAATAGAAATATAAAAGAAAAGGGCAAAACAGTCAAAATCTATAAAAGCAGAATAGGAAAATAACATGCATATTAACATATAAATATGTGCAAATAAGTGAATTAATAGAGAAAACAACACATCCAATTAGTTCTAAGAAGAGTAATGAATAAATAAAGTCAACTGAATCAATCAAAAGGCCACAGAAATAAGATTAATGGTAAAGATTTACCCAACAAGTCTATATATGAGGCCCAAATCCTGCTGAATTCTACATTTCCGCTGTGGAAAATACAAGATATTCACTGTGTCTGTGCATTTTTACTTTTTTAAACATACTTTTTATTCTAAATCTTGCACACAAATTTGGATTTCCAAGAAAGCAAGAAACCCAAAAATGAATAAAAAGGTTGGTCGATATCATCCGACCAAACTCTCACTGGCTGGACAGTCTCCAGTGCTGCTTTCATGACGAGAAAAGTGAAAAACTAGCCTATAAAAACCGCTAAGTCTGACTGTTCACTGAACGTTTACTCAGTCGGCTCCAAACTAACTGACAAAGACGTCGAATACTTTCAGAAATCAAATGAGTTCGTGCAGCTACTCTGTTCCCAGTCTGTTCTTGGCATTTCAGAATAAAACAACCAGGTTTAGATGATTTAATATGCTGCAAAAACTAGTTGATTTTTTACATTCATGTAGGCTAATAAAGCTGCAGACACACAGGACTCAGTGCCGTCTGGCACACTTAGTGGGTCAACAGGCTGAACGGTACGTTTACTGTCAGTCGTCGAAGGTTTTGTTTGGTTCACTACGACCACAACGTTTGTCTGTTTCTTATCCAGAGCTCAAGAATTAATCAAATACTCGACTAGCCAACAATTCTGATGCCTGTTTAATCTTTTTAAGGTAAATAAAGTCTGAATTTTCTGTTTTTAGCTGCTTAAACGTGAATACTTTCTGTTCAGTAAAGCAAACATCACTGTGATGGGGACAAATCAAGACATTTATCACCATTTTCTGACATTTTATAGACCAAACAACTCATCGATGAACTGAGAAAACAATCATTAGTCGCAAAACTTCATCAGTCAAACAGCTTTTAACTGCAGTGTTTTGTTTGGGATTATTTTTAGCAGCTCACTAGAGGCATTTGTACATTTA